TGACTGTTTTCATTAACAGATGTTACCCCAGTCCCAGGGGCTGTGCACCCAGAGGCTCCAGGGGAGCCCATCCTATGGTCTTGGCTCTGTGGTCCATGCTTCATCCTTTTGGTTGACTAGCTCTGATGGACAATGGTGGAAGCTTCAGCTTTGATCCTTTGGGCCTGAGGTGCTGGCGTGGCATTGCTCTGCTCTCCGTGGGTCCTCGGACTGACCTGGTTGGGACAGTAAATTTCCTGTAGCAGGAACCGAAGGCCTGACCTCCACTGCTTGTCAGCCTTTTCTAGCCTTGTTGTGTGTTTGTGCTGCTGTGAATAGCGCTGTGGATAGCACAGTGCCATGTTAGCGTGGTTTACTCTTCACAGGCTGGGAGGCAGGAAGCCTAGTGTCCCGGTCCCGGCCTCTTAGTTCTGTCTAGGGTGTGGTGGACAGTTGTACACGTCTGCCATCTCAGCATTCAGGAGGGGGAGTTAGGAAGATCAGAAGCTCAAGGCCATCCTTGGATACATAATGAGTTTGAGGCTAGCCTGGGCTACCTAAGGCTTTGTCTTTATTTTTAAAAAGTGAGTTGTTTTTTTTTTCTAAAGTGAGTTTTGAGCTGGCAGTGGTGGCACACACCTTTAATCTCAGCACTCAGGAGACAGAGACAGGTGGATCTCTCTGAGTTCAAGGCCAGCCTAGTCTATAGAGTGAGTTCCAGGACAGGCTCCAAAGCTACAGAAAAACTCTGTCTCAAAAAATCAAACAAACAAAAAAATAAGTTTTGCAGAGAATGTTGAGACACACAGAGCCCTATCTTCAGCTCTTTAAACAGAAACATTGACATTCCACAGATGCTTTATGTCATGTGCTTGTTTTTTGGTGCAGTACCTTTAGATGTGTAGCATAGTCTAGGGTTAAGTGGATTGAAACAGACTGGAGACAGCTCTGAAGGTACAAATGCTCTCTTGTTGCACAAGCATGAAGACCGGAGTTAGGGTCCCAGCATCCATGTAAAAATATGGACGTGGTTGCACGTGCCTGTAACCCTGGTGTTGTCAGTGGCCCAGGTGGGGGATCACTGGAGCTTGCTACATAATCCCGGCTCCAGGCACAGTGAAAGACCTTGTGTAAGAATAAGGTGAGAGTGATAGACAGGACATTCGGCATCCTCCTCCTACCTCTGAACCCACACACAGGCAAGTGCAGTCCCCCCAGTGTGTGTACACCTCATACACTCACACACCTGTGTAAACATCCTGAACACTCATACATGTGTGCATACCCATATACCTTACAGTTCCATAGAACTCGTACATGTCCACATACCTCACAGTCATACTGATGCATGTACCTTACAGAGATACACATGTTCTTATAAATACATCTCACATCCACCATGGGCATATTCCTCATACACATGTCACACACCTCACATAGTGTGTATATGCCTCACACACATGTCCACATACCTCATCCACACATGTATATGCCTCATATGTACATGTGCGTACACTGTACACCCCTGTGACTATTCAACAAAGTACATATGCTTTATGTTTGCACACATGCATATGGCTCACATGTTTACACCTCATATTCTCACATGCATCTACCTTACATACACATAACTAACAATAAACAGCGCTGAAGCATTTTCTTATTATTTAATAAACAGAAATGTTATTTGTTCCTTGATAACCTATGTGAAGTTGCAGTAACTGCTCATTTAATAGGACAATATGTTGTCTGAATGTAAATAGATGTCTGTCTTGCAGTCTAGGGAAAGATGAATGTGTTAGATCCTTGAATATAATTAATATGCCTCGGGAAGTTTGTTCTAGGAGACAATGGCTGAGGGAGTTCTAGGTGGATGGTGCTGATGCTGTTTGTCATGCTGGGACCAGCTGTGCTGTCTCATGGCTCACCTAATCTGTTTGCTTTCCTTTAACAGGCAGTGGTGGTGCCCCAGAGCGGTGGACAGCTGTGGGTCTTTGGTGGGGAGTTTGCATCTCCTGATGGCGAGCAGTTCTACCATTACAAGGACCTCTGGGTCCTGCACTTGGCCACCAAGACCTGGGAACAGATTCGGTAAGATCTGGGTGGGAGCCTGAGCCCTGGCCTTAGCTTGTGTTTCTGATTGAGTTATGGGTGAAGCAAGCACGGTGCTTTCCTGTGTGGTGGGGTGAGGGCTTTGGTGGAGGCGTTGTTTAGGATGCTGAGCAGCAAGCTGTGTGTCAGGCCTGAGTCACCCTCTTCGTGCATTTCCTCCAGTGTGAGTTCAGGGCTACTGCAGCCAACGCTGATCCCGATGGAGATCGCTCATGATAAGACCAGGAGATAGCCCTGTTTTAGACAGATGGAGAAATAGCAGAGCTGGTCAGAGGAGGGAGGAACCTTCATGGTTCTAGGAAGTCAGGCTTGCTGTGCTGGTGCCTGCTTCTCTGTTGGGAGCCTCTGCTGTGTGTCTTCCTGTCTCTGAATGAGAATTACTGCAGAAAGGAGCCTGGCAGAATGGCCAGTTGCCAGCAGACCTAGTGACTGCATCTTCTTTGGGTGCTCCCTAGCCCTATTGCCAGGGATATGCATGCCACAGTGTGAGGGTCCTGTCCTGCGCTCGGCCTCGCCTGCAAGAACCACGCAGGACACAGGAACCTACTGCAGAAATAGCTTTAATGCCCCTTGGGAGATCGAGCATCAGCCAACATGGCGGAGACCCAGATATGAAGGAAGCCATCCCTTATATATGACACAGACCCTGCTTTGGGACGTGTCACTCTTGGATTGGTCCGCTGCTCCCAGTCCCAGGTGATGCCTCGGGAGTAGTGGAAAGTTACCAACACGTGTGAGCTTTCTAGCTCACCTGGCGGTGCAGCGCCATCTATGGTGGAGAGTGTGGTTGCGGCCCTCTACAAGGGTCCTTCCCTCTCTGCAAATAAAGCAGTAAACCAGAATTAGGCAGGGAGCAGTCTCCTGGCCAACCTGTTCCAGCACACTTGTTTGATCACGTGTGTTCACGTAGCTGTGTCCCTGACTCTTCCATTATCTTTTGTGTCGTTCAAAGAAAAGTACAGGGTCATGCCTGGACGTGAGTTTGTGTGCATGCCTTTTCACGTATGTGAGTGTGGGGAGTCAGGTAGAGGTCAGTGTTGACTGTCACATGGTTTATTTGCAATGCAGTGAATACACCCCAGTGTGGCAGTCCCGGAGCGTGGCCATTCTTCCTGTCGGGCCCCCACGTAGTCCTTTCTGCCCTACTAGCTCTGTAGTCTACAACTTTTGGTTCTTTGCTTTCTTTCTTTTTTAAGAATATCTTTTATTTATTGTTTTGACAATTCCATCCATGTTCACAGTGCATCTGGAACAAACCCAGGTCTTACAATTCCCCACCCCGGACATCTCCCAGCACACCCCTTCCCACTTTAATGCTCGCTCTTTTTGCCTTTTGTAACCCACTGAGTCCAATTAGCACAGCCTGCCGGAATAATGATAAACCTTGTTGGCTTGCTCTTACGCAGATCTTGTGCAAGTGACCACAGCTGCTCTGAGTTTCATGTATGTAACTCTGTCATGTCCTAAACATGCGACGACTTTTCACAGTACTCCTCCCCTTCCCCCAGTTCTTACATTCTCTCTGTCCCCTCTTCAGTGATGTTCCCTGAGCCTTAGGAGGTGGAGTTGCTCTCAGTATCCTATTTAGGGCCAAGCACTCAACAGCCACTCATCCTCAGCTCTGTGACTAGCTGTGAGGCTCCTGTGTTTACTGTTGCCCACTGCAGAGAGATGCTTCTCTGACCATGGTAGAGGGCAGCACTGATCTGAGGGTAGAAGCATAAATATTTAGAAGACAGAGTGGTAATGTGTCCATTTAGCAGAACAGTAGTAGGTTTCTGGCTTGGTCCTGTGACCTCCTGAACCAGGGTCCTTTGACCGAGTTTGCAGTACCAGGCATGAATTGCCTCCTGTGGAGCAAGCCTCAGATCCAATCAGTGGTTACTTGTCTCCATAACCTTAATGCCACTATTTCACCAATGGACACATCTAATCTGGAAGGTCAGTATTCAGGTTCCCCTCTTGGTAATACCATTGATGCCTTTCTTCCTTAGTGACCTGCATTGCATCATCAGACACTATGAAAGCTAGCCAGCCAGAGAGGAAGTTTTCAGGTCTGTTCAGTCCTGATTGTCCTCCAAGCAAAGCATGTAGTGGTGTCAGGAGAAGGGCTTCACCATCAGGTCTGGTGGGCAGCCAAGAGCAATGGCAATAGCTTGTGTTGCTTCCACTGTTCATGGGGCCTACTTGACCAGTAACTCATAGTAAGGTATATGTATATACCTGGCTTCAGCTTTTCATTTCAAAACCTCTGTCTTCTGGGGCAGTCACTGTGCACACATACAGGGTACCTGAGTTCTAACTCCTTTCATTTATTTGTTTCGTTTTGTTTTTGTTTTTTCAAAATCTGTGTAACAAAAAATTCTGCATTCAAAGCTCTGTATTCAAAAGTTCTGTGTAGCCCTGGCTGTCCTGAAACTCACTCTGGAGACCAGGCTGGCTTCAAACTCAGAGATCCTCCTACTTCTGCCTCCCAGTTCTGAGATTAAAGGTGTGTGCCACTGTGTCCAGCCAAGCTCCTTTTATTTTTACTTTTTAAATTCTATTTTAAAATTTATTTGAGTCTCTAAGGGTTTTCATGTATCCTGAGTTTTGGGTAAACCACATTCACCTCCCCATCTCCCTGTTCTCCCGCAGCCATGTTGAAGCCTTTTAACCCCTGGTGTTTTCCCCTCTCTCCTTTTATGCCCTGGCTTCCCTGGGTCTGCTCTGAGTGCCGCAGGTGAAATGTGTTACTGGACCTCTGCAGTCCCCGCCTGTAGATAGTGTTCTCGTAGCTTTATTTTCAGCAGAGTTGAGTGCGCTTGTGGTGCACGTGAAGTCTCTTTTAGATGAGCAAGCCCAGAAGTCCTTGGTACACACAAGGGCCCTGTTTCTGAGAGGGAAATAAGATACTACAAGCTGAGGGCTTAAAAAGAAGTGAGATTATTTATTTCAGCCCTCCCAGACTGTGAGGGCACACTTGGCCATAAAATGAGTTTGGACCCTGAAAATCTAAGATTGGACACGGATGGCTCATGGCAGATGGTATCATCATGGTGGAGCGTATGTGGGAGGGGGAGCTTAGGGAGTCAGAGGCCGGAGGGTCAGACTTGCTGTTTTCATTAAAACTTGACACAAAAACAACCGAGACCAGCACTTGGTCTCTAAGGACAGTGCCCCGTGTGCCCGCTTACCTCCCACCTGCCATTCCTGCCACATCCTTCTGGGCAGTACAGATGGAAAGGGGAATAGTGGTTCCCTAGGGCAGAGCTTAGCCAGCCTGCAGGACATGTAGGACCTGAATGGCACCCTGGGGGAGAGAAGCAACAGTAGGGAAAATGAGGACTGTGTGGCCTGCTTGGTCCCTCTCATCAGTGTAGCTTCTGCATGGACATGGGTAGGGTGAGCAGCTGCAGCTGCCAGGACAGTGGTTCTGGGCTGTCTCTCAGTTTTTCTGTAGAAGTAAAGACCACAAGATCATGTGCACTGAAACTGAGAATTTAAGCACAAACAGTACAGGGACATTTAACTGGACAGGCATCCTTCTCAGGGTGATGATCATGGCCAGCAGGTATCTGGGCTGTGGGGTGCTGAGTAGGAGATGTGTGTGCTGTGGCCTCAGGGCTGACAGCCGGTCAGCATCACTGTTTGAAGCTGAAGGCTAAGGACCCGGGATCGGTGGGTTTGAAGGCTCCAGGAGGTCTGTCAATGGTGTTGGCTTGCTTCTCTCCACACAGTGCCAGTGTAGCTGTGTCCTCTGATGACACGCAGGAGCCAGAGGGAGGTATGGCTGAGCTGTGCTGTGTGGGGGTCCATCCACGTGGTACAGACCTGTGGATGCACAGGAATTCTGTGGCAGAGCATACTGCCATACAGCATGATTGGCCATTGGTGGTGGCTTTAAAATCGGTCTGCCATACCTGTGCTCTCTGTGGGACTGCAGCTCCTGTTACGTGCTGCCGCAGCCTGGCCGGTTCTCATGACTTCGTTTTTGAGAGTCAAGAAAGACGTGGACAAAGGCACCCAGCCCTCAGACATGTTCCTGCTGAAGCCCGAGGAAGGGGGAGAAGGTCCTGCTGTGCTTGAGGATTGTGTTCTGGGTGTGTGGCCTTGGGCTTACATTTAGCCTCTGGGCAGAAGCAAAGACTGTGTGTCCCTTTTGTCAAAATGGGAGCTGCACTGAGTTCCCTGTTGGCTGCCTAGAGCCAAGAACCAGACCACCTTTCTCAGGAGTGGTTGGACCGTGGTGCCTTATGTGACATGGGTGAGCCTTCGGTGTGCCCTGGAAGGCAGCAGGAGCCCAGGTCACTCAGCCACTCTGTCCCCCTCGAAAACCCTGTGTTGTATTTGTGTTGTTCTCAGGTATAGTCCTAATGCTTAGAGGTAAGATTGGGGAGGACAGTTTTGGGCGGACTCCCTGAACATGCATGCTCAGCCCCAACGTGTGGAGCCACATGTGAGGGCAGAGGAGGAGTGGGGAGATGGGAAGGAGGAGCTGCTGTGGTCCTGTCCTTGTGTGACATTTTAAAGAGTGTTCTTACTCAAGAGCACACAGACATTACTAGGATATGTAGTTCTGTGTGCTCAAATGTGCGTCATCTGCCACTGCTGGCAGGAACCTAGGACTGGGAACCTGTGAAGCTTGAACCTGGAGGCTGGACGGTGTGGGGCTGTCCCTTGGGCCCAGCAAGTAGCCCCATGATAAGGGAGTCCTGTGCTATGAGCAGCACTCCCTCTGTAGATGCACAGTGTGAGATGATGGGCCTCGCTAACTCCATGTTAGTGTTTTCGGCTCTAGTCCCTCCCCACAGCACCTGCTGCTGTGATAGGTTGACTGGGGACTACTAATGGGCAGGCCCAGAGTCCTACCCGCACTGTGGGCCTAGTCAGTCACCTCCAGTGCATGGTCACCAGCGCTTTTTTAATGTTTAGTGAGGGACAATCTCAGTTCTTTCTTCTAGAAGTAACGGGAAGACATTTTCCATGTGTTAGAAGAATTTGGCACCTGTTGGGAAAGCTGAGCACAGCTGTCCCCGATGAGAGGTGGTGTAGTCCAGGGCTGGGCGAGCTGGCTTAGGACCCCAGTGAGGTCTATTTTAGCCCATGATCCTCCTCTAGCAAGTCGGCATCTCCACATCTGTCTCTCTGCCTTTTGACCCTTGGTTCCAGGGTCCCTTAGAAGGTGAGGTCTGGTGTCACACAGCTGAGCTTGGAGAAGGATGGACTTTGAGGATGGTTGACTGGCGTTCCCTCTTCCTATAAGGGGGGCAAAGTGAGTTTCTGTGCCTAAATAATTTCAAATGCTCACAATTGGCCTCATCCCAGGTGTCCAAGGCTCTCTGTGTGTTCTTCCTGGCTCTTAGTGTCCCCTCTTACCCCTTCCTCTGTTTCCTTTGACAGGCAAATGGCCTTGGGCCCAGATTAACCCTTCAGGGGAAGGGTCAAGCCTACTCCAAGGTCTGGCTTTTCTGTGGCCCTGGCTCCAAATCATCAGATACTGGTCTTCGGGGGCGTGTGTAATGATGAGGAGGAGGAGAGCCTGGAGGACTCATTCTTTAGTGACTATATATCCACGATCCTGCCAGGAGTCGCTGGTTCGCAGCACAGCTAAAGATAGCCTAGGCTTCTGAGAGTCTTCCATATTACCTGTCTCCTACCCACCCTCAAGCCTTGTTGCTTCCTTTTAAGGCCCATGTACTCTTCTGTGTGGGTCCTGGGTGACTAGGCTTGTGGTCACTGTTCCTTTTTGGTGTCACCTACCACTCCTTGGCAGAGCTGAGATGTTGAGCATGTCAGGTTCTCTGTGCCAGTTAATGTCTGTTGTTGCTTGAGCTCAGCCCTGTTTCCATCCCCCTTTCTGTTGTCCTTGTCAGTGCAGCTGCTGCCCAGGACCTACCTGGAGCAGACAGACTAGCAGGTGATGGTCTCAGGGCGCCCTGGCATCTGCACAGAGAAACTGCTCTGAGTGCCCACAGTATGCGAGCTCTAGTACCTGCTGTGGGCTCAGCCTCGTGGAGGGATCTATGATAGACATAGATACGATATGATAGAAAACCTTGCACACGTCGGCCCCTGCTCTGAGAAGCTATACCAGGCATGGCCACTCGGGGTCTCTGACATTGCTAAGAGCATTGAACCCAGTGTGTAGGTTAGCCTTATTTTCAGATTACTTGGTCCTCGGGCCCCAAGATGTCCTTCAGGGGCTGTTCTGTCTGAGACACCCTGCAGCCTCAGGATGGAGTGGGTCTTGTGTCTAGAACAGGGAGCAGGCCCAGGTTGGCTGTAAGTGGTCATAGCTGGAATATTTGAATATAGCTCTCAGTAAATGCCATCTTGTGAGCATGGTGTTCTGCCAGATGGCAGAGGCTACTACAGAGCCACTCAGCTATACTCCTGCAGAGTGGCCAGGGAGACAGAGTACATGTCCTCCTGTAGGAGGGTAGCTCAGTGCTAGTTGGCGACGGAGGGCCCTGCATGGTCTTGAGGGTCAGGGTGGAATGCTGACCCTCTGTCATCCCGCCTATTGTTGGCTGGGAGTGATCTGCATCCTTTCTGTGACAGTGTGAATGGGTAGGATTTCCCAAGAAAAGCCCCAGACACCTTTGTCTGCATTTTAGCCGGGCCTGGTCTTACCTGGGTGCTTCCCAGTGTGGGACTCAGGAATGACTGTCCCTCATTATGGTGATGGCTAGGCGGCCATTCCTCGTTGCCCTCCTGGCTACCTGAAATGTCTGCTCGCTCCTGCGCTGCTCCACACCTCTTTCGGGGTAGCATGTTAGATGGAATGTTGACTGGCATAGTAGAGGGAGGGCTCTCACTGCCCTACTGTGCAGCTTGAGTTGTGTTAACAGGGCCCCAAGTCGGAGAAGAAGAAACGGAGGCGGGGCAAAGTAGAGGAACATGAAGGTGCCACTGAAGAGGAGAGTGGGGGACTGGTGCCCCCGAGCCACTGGAGGTGATAAAAGAGGTGGTGGCTGAAGATGGGACAGTGATCACCATCAAACAAGTGCTTGCTCCCTCGGGGCTGCCGGTGTGACCCCCACCTAAGGCTGAAGACAGTGCTCTGGAGGCCAGCAGCACTGGGCAGGAGCCATGTCCACGTTCAAATGCCATGCTGGCCATCAAGCATGGACTGCTCTATGTCTATGGTGGCATGTTTGAAGCTGGTGATTGCCAGGTGACCTTAGTGACCTCTACTGCAGGGTGTTCTGTTGGGGATCCTGTTCCAGGCTGGGAGGGACTGCACCTGTGGCAGGGGGGCTCGGAATGGTTTGTAATGAAATGAGATAAGCTCCCTGTGGTTTCAAATAAGTTTAAGTAAAGGAGCAGAGACTTGCGAATCTTACAAGTGACCTCTCGGGACAGAGGCCCTACCCTGGTCTTGCGGAGGAGAACATGACTCCACTGACAGCAGCCTCCAGAATCTCACACAGGACAGATTCTTGCTGCTGTGACTGCCCGGTCTATGGCACTTTGCCACAGCGGCCATGAGGCATTTTTAGTAGCATGGAGAGGTTCCCAGAAGAGTCACTGTGGCTGGAGCCATGGTGCATGGGAAGATTGCAGGACTGGGCAGCTAGGTCAGATGTCACAGCAAGGTCTAGCATCAACCTCACAAAGAACCAGAGCAAAGCAGAGGGTGAGCCGAGCCTGGCAGTGCACACCCATCACTCCGGAGACTAAGGCCACGGCAGGAGGCTCGAGCACAGCCCCTTTCTCGGGCATGTGAACTGTCTGAACAAGCAGGGGCACTGTGAGCTCCCTGCAAAATGTACAGGTAGGCCTACGGAAGGCAGAGGAACAAAGAACAAGACAGCCCGCTGTGACGACACAGCCTGTCACTGAAAGATACAGAGACCCTGTACCTGCGTCTGCCCCTGGAAACAAGGGGCACAGGAGCTGAGGTTAGGATAATAGATGCCTAGATACCCCAGGCTGAGTCCACTGGAGTCAGCTTGACCCCTGGGATGATCATGCTGACACACTAGCAACATGGTATATGTATGGCATGTGGTACAGGACTCCACTTGCCATCCTACAGAGTTTAGACACCTGCTGAGGTCACAGACAGCAGAGCCACATAGCCCTTCTGCAAGGCAGATGGAGAAAGGGCATTTAGTGGGAGGGTCAGATTGAATTCAGAAGAGACACCGTGATGTCACCAAATCCCAGGACAGGCCACTAAGATCCCATGGAGGCCCATCCCAGGGATCTTCTAAACAGCAACAGGCTCATTTAGGGAAAGGAGAGCGCTATGGGCCTGAGTCCTGCAGTCCTGAGCAAGTGAAGGATCTGTGGGACTCAGGCCCAGTGAGCTGTGGGCATAGCTCCTTCACCTGCTCAGGACTGCAGGACTCAGGCCCAGTGAGCTGTGGACACAGCTCCTTCACCTGCTCGGGAACTGAAGGACTCAGGTCCAGTGAGCCTGTGGACACAGCTCCTTCACCTGCTCAGGACTGCAGGACTCAGGCCCAGTGAGCTGTGGACACAGCAGGCCCCAGCTGACTTGTTTCTCTTCTGAATCCTGCTGAGCCCCTGAGAATCCAGGTGAAGCTGGTTGAGACTGTGCAGCGATCCTAGACTACCATGTGACCAGCAGTTCTATAGGAAGAGCATGTGACAGCTGTCCTAACTGTGGCTTCCAACCACAGGGTCTAATTGTTTGCAGCAAGGTGAGAGCCCTTGCAGTAGGAACCAGGAGGCAGTGCTGACATGGGCAGAGGCTGCCCACATTCCCAAGCTTATGAGCCTATGAGAAATACCACAGAAGGTGCCAGACAGCCAAGGTCACATTCTCCCAGCTCACCGAGGCAGAACTGAGGCTTTTGAGTAAACCCAGAACCCTGGATGGTATACACCAACCATTCACCTCCAGTATCCCCTCAGCTGCTCCTGCATCTAGTCATTTCCCAGGACCCTAAAACCCACCCACCCACCCTGTTCAGTTTCAAGCTGCAGGGCTGAGCACAAACAGATGAGACTTTGCCCACCAGAGGTGTGACCGGCCTCCCACGGGGCAGGAGCCTAAGCCTGGACCAGAAAGTGCTATACTGTGGGGCAGTGCGGCCAGTGGGGGAACAAGGGGACTTGAGCATTCTCTGGGGTGCTCAGAGGCAGGCGGGGCCTGTGGCCAGATTAGTAAACATGTAAGTAAACCTCCCGAAATTACTGTAAGAAAGCTCCACCTGCTACACAGATTCGCCAAAACACAGAAGAGCTGAAATCGGGGTGTGGTCTGCATCGGTCCCTTCCGGATCGGCTCTAGGAAAACCCCTTCCCTTAACTTCCCCAGTGTCTAGATGTTGCTTGCGTTCCTTAGTTCCTGGGCTCTTTCTCCAGCTTTGTACTTCACAGCTCTAACCTCTGCTTTCACAGCCACCCTCGTGCGAGGACCCTGTGATGACACTGGGCCATCTGAGGGGGGAGGTCCATGATAATCACCCACTTCCACATCCTCAACAACATCTGCAAAGTCCTTTTGCCATGAGAGGTGACATAGTTGCTGGTTCTGGGCTTGAGAAGTGGGTGCACTTCAAGGGCAGCTGTTCAGCCCCTTGGAACACATCCATAAACCCAGGATCCACAGCCTCCTCCTGGGAGCTGCACCCGCCACAGGCTCACAGCCTGCATCTCTCAGCAGACCATAATGCTACAGGGGAGGGGGGCCATAATGCTACAGGGGAGGGGGGTGCAGAAATGGGAAGGGTAGAAGGATGTCCTCTGCAGCCGAACTCCTAGACTGCAAGATCAGAAATGCCCAGAAGATTCCGACCGAGGAAGGGCTCCAGAGCAAGGGCTCCATGTTGTGGGAGTAACTTCCGCTGCCTCAACCAATAGTCGCTGAAATACGAGCCCACAGTGCAGCGGGGAGCGACTTCCGCTCCGTCAGCCAATAGCTGCTGAAATACCAGCCCACTGGGCGTGGTATATTTCTCTTTTAAAAAGAGAAGCAGATCCGGATCAGGCCCTCTTGGTTCCGGCTCTTGGTTCTGGTGCTTGCTCCTGGCTCCTGCTCCCGGCTCCAGCGACTAGGCTCCCTTCCTGACGGTTTATGGTGTATGTAAGTTTTACCCCCCAAAATAAATAACCCCTTAAAACATAACTGGTGTGGGATTGATTCGCCGATAGCTCCAGTCACATGGACACCCACATCTCAGGCGGTGAAGAAATGGGTACACTGGGCTGCACCAGTGGGGAGACTCCTGGGACGAGAGGACAAGAAGGGACAAGCTCAGAGAACCAGTCACAGTGCAATGCCAGCCTCACGAGGCAAGTGTGGCACGTGTACAGCAGGTCCCCTTGGTACAAGGATGGCTGAGATCTCAGGTTCCAGCCCTAAACTTGTTCTGTCCTCTTATTTCAAGAACCCACGATAAATATTACAGACAAGACATGCTACATCCACGGCTGTCTCGCCAGTGTAGCAGAAATGCTGACTGGATGGGCAAATATTGCCGGCCGGATTGGGATTTGTGCTTCCAGGAGCTGTGTGTTCCAGGCGGGTCCCTGGCAACCAGTTGTGGTATAAAGCTACCTGAGTTGCCATTAGTATTGACTCGACCTGGCTGTCCTTGGAGCCATATGTGTGTCTTTTCCTTTGTCTGTGTGTTCTTTGTGATTCT